GGGGGGGGGGGGCCGTGCGGGGGGGTCAGTGAACACCCTGCAGAACCCCTTTGTGGGCTGTGTGGACCCAGGCTGGGTCCCAGCTGCCTGGGGGTCAGGAACCCACTCTTCTTACTTGTGTCTGAGTCTAGGCCCCATGGTATTCAGGGCATTTGCATGCCCCTCCCACCCCCACCCGCCTGCCCCGAGTTAGGGTGAGGTCTTCTGTTGCTGTTCCAGCCAGCCTTTCAGGCTGACTAATGGTGAGGCAGGGGGTGCCGTGGATCGCTCCTCCCGCCTTCCTGGGGCTGTAGGGGAGTCCAGCAGGAGTGGTGGCAGGTCACCAGCTCACAGTAGGAAGGTGGAGAGGCTAGGAGGGAGCTTGGTGCCGGTGTTAGGCAGTGAGGTTGTAAGGGCTGAGGTTTAAGGGTACCCCTTAAAGAGACGATGGCAGGGCGCTCCCAACTGGAGGCCTGGGAGCATTTCAGCCTAGGCATTGGGGAGGGGTGGGTTAGACCTGGGAGCCAGCCTCCTTTGGCCTCTCCTCCTCCTTCCTGCCACAGGGCTGTGGGGGGTGGGGCAGATCTGGGGGCTGGGACTGGGGTTGTTTGGAGGGGATGGGTGAGAAGGATGGATTTGGTGAGTTCGAGGCCGCGTTTGAAGGAGCAATTGAGGATCCAAGTTCCGGCCTGGATGGCACTTGAGCAGGGGGCGCAGGAGCGGGTGGGCAGGGGGCTGTGGGAGATACGCCAGCAGTGTCTCCCTGGGGGACTGTGGTGAGCGTGGGTTGAGGCAGAGACAGCAGCAGCCGGGGCTGAGGTCTATAACAGGTTTAGCTGAGACAGGGGTGATGGAAAACGTGGATTTGCCCCAGTTCCAGTTGGATAGGTCTGGGCTGAACCCCCAACCCCCACCTGCACGCACAGTGCTGCTGATGTGCACGAGGCTTTGAGGGCCCCTCTAGTCATTGCTGCTGTAGGGGAGCAGCCCCCACCCAGGAGCCTCAGACGTCGGTGGAGCCCCCTTTTGTTGCATCTGTCCCATCAGGTGCTGGCTGGCACATTAAACTGTGTTGTTAGGTGGGTGGCCGCCTGGCATGGGGCTTGGCACCCACCCCCAGCCTCCCTCAGGGTGGCCTGGGTCCAGGACAGGGAGCAGAGGTGGCACATTAAACTAATCGGTGTCGAATGGGTAGGTGGCGTGGGGCTTGGCACCCACCCCCAGCCTCCCTCAGGGTGGCCTGGGTCCAGGACAGGGAGCAGAGGCGGGCGGAGTGCTCAGCAGGTCTCCCCCTCGGGGTGCCACGCAGGTTCCGGGCGCAGCGAGGCCGAGACGCGGGAGTGCATCTACTACAACGCCAACTGGGAGCTGGAGCGCACCAACCAGAGCGGCCTGGAGCGCTGCGAGGGCGAGCAGGACAAGAGGCTGCACTGCTACGCCTCCTGGCGCAACAGCTCGGGCACCATCGAGCTCGTCAAGAAGGGCTGCTGGCTGGACGACTTCAACTGCTACGACAGGTACCCTGGAGCTGCCCTCCCCGGCCACCCCCTCTCAGCTCCGCCGGAGCCGCCTGCCGGTACCTGCCCGCTGACCGCAGGGGTCTCAGGGTGTGTGAGCCTGGCATTTAGGGCCGGAGGGGAAGGACAAGGGCTCTCGAGAGCTGGGACACGGGGGTGCTGCGGGGTCCCGGCCCCGAGGAGCTCTGAGTGTCCACCCTGCTGCCCCTCCCAGACTGTCGGTCCCACTTGCCAGGAGGTGGGTGTACGCTGTCCCCCTGGGGGTTCCCCCTGAGGCCCTCTGTCGGTGGGGCGGGGTTTGGCTGGGCCTCAGCTGAGGGGTGTGTGGGAAACTGTGCCCCCAGGCAGGAGTGTGTGGCCACCGAGGAGAACCCCCAGGTGTACTTCTGCTGCTGTGAAGGCAACTTCTGCAACGAGCGCTTCACCCACCTGCCCGAGGCTGGGGGCCCGGAAGGTGAGGGCCGAGGGAGAAGCAGGCTCGGGCCGCTCCTTGGCCCGGGAGGAGCGCTCGGCTCCGGAGTTGGGTGGGGCGTGGCTGCCGGCCTCTCTGGCCCTAGAGGTGCGGGGGTGGGCGGGCTGTGTGACACAGGGCTCCGTGTGTCCCCCAGTCACGTACGAGCCACCCCCGACAGCCCCCACCCTGCTCACGGTGCTGGCCTACTCCCTGCTGCCCATCGGGGGCCTCTCCCTCGTCGTCCTGCTGGCCTTCTGGATGTACCGGCATCGCAAAGCCCCCTACGGCCACGTGGACATCCATGAGGTGAGGCGTGGGCTCGGGGCAGGGCAGGGTCGAGGTGGCGAGGCCAGGACGGACGCTTTAAGCCCTGATCTCCCCCAGGACCCTGGACCTCCACCCCCATCCCCTCTGGTGGGCCTCAAGCCCCTGCAGCTGCTGGAGATCAAGGCTCGGGGGCGCTTTGGCTGTGTGTGGAAGGCACAGCTCATGAACGACTTCGTGGCTGTCAAGATCTTCCCACTCCAGGTGAGTGTTGGAGTGGCTCCAGGCCGTCCAGCTGTGCTGTGGCCTGAGCTCTCCTGTCTCCAGGCAGTGCAGTCCCCTTGTAGGTGGGGTGAGAGAGACGTGGGCCCCCTTGGGCGTGGTGTCATTCACTGTGCGGCTAGGTAGGGCTCTGCAGAGCCACTCTGGTTTTCAGGGATTTGTTTTGGACATCAGGTTCTGCTTAGAGATCCTGGACACCAGGCTCCCCAAGCAGTTTCCTGAGACCCTTAGCAAAGCCAGCCCCAGCCGTGTCTCTCCTGTGTGGGGTGATACGGGGCCACTCCCTCCCCTCTCTGGTCCTCAGTGCGCCCGCTTGTGAATCAGGTGCTGAGCCTTAGTGACTTCAGGGATCACGCCTGGCCTCTGCTCCCGGGCCTGGCTCAGTGCAGGTCTCTGCCTGCCTCCCTTCAGGTGCTGAGGCTGGGGGCGTGGGGAACGGGGTGAGGGCGGTGGCTGCAGGGGGGTTCAGCCGTGTCCCTGCCTCAGGACAAGCAGTCGTGGCAGAGCGAGCGGGAGATCTTCAGCACGCCTGGCATGAAGCACGAGAACCTGCTGCAGTTCATCGCCGCCGAGAAGCGCGGCTCCAACCTGGAGGTGGAGCTGTGGCTCATCACGGCCTTCCACGACAAGGTGAGCCGGTGAGCCGCGGCCCGTGGAGGTGGACGCCCCGGCTAGGTGAGCTCGACCACGGCCCCTCCCCCGCCGGCCTTCCACAGGGAGGGACCCTGCCATAGGTACGGACACGAGTGCCTACAATAAGAAGCCCTAACTCTGGGATACAGTCTTACGACTGAGAGTAGTGGGTTCATAATTAACACCTCTGAACCCTCCTCCCCCACCTCTACTGGCCTCAGATATCTTCTGCATCAACTCCGGCCTCCCAGGGGGCGACCCCGGCCTTGGGTCCCCTGAGACAGCCTCCCAGGGCTGGGCTGGTCCTGCCCTGTCCCCAGCACCTGTCCCCACGTTCTGTGCGTCTCCTGTAGGGCTCCCTCACGGATTACCTCAAGGGGAACGTCATCACGTGGAACGAACTGTGTCACGTGGCAGAGACCATGTCCAGAGGCCTGTCGTACCTCCACGAGGACGTGCCCTGGTGCCGTGGAGAGGGCCACAAGCCGTCTATCGCCCACAGGTACCTGGGTTAGCAGCGGACCCCCCTGGGCTCGGCCTGGAGCTGCAGAGAAGGTTGGAGGGCGAGAACAGGGCCTGGGGCGGGAGGGGGGGGTTGTGTGTGTCCTCACCTTCAGAAACACACCGGGCCACTCTGTGGTGTGTCAGAAGTGACTGGGCACAAAGACCAGGGCCCACCTGTGGCCGCTGCTGCCTGCCGGCCACCCCTGTTCCGGGCCTGGCCTGGCCTGGCCTCCAAGCCGGGTTCCTGGTGCCCTCCAGTGGCCACATGAGGAAATGCCGACTCCACTATGGAGAGTTGGCTCAGAAGTTGTGTTTTTGGTTCCAGTCTGTACGGTTAAAACACTTCTGTGTATGTGGCTTATGTCTGTTGATATTTGCTGTATTAAAGCACCCACAGCCCACCAGCTGTCAGAGTGATGACATCACATGTACGCAGTCTCTGGGAAACTACTCTTGAGAGAATGAGCTGAAGAAAGCCAAATAATAGATTGCTGTGAGCATAGTTTTGTCCTTGCAGATCCCCCGGAACAGTCTCAGGGACCCCCTGGGAGCCGCTGTGTTCGCTCCTCATCTTAGTGGGGTGCCTGGCAGCCAGCGCCCCAAACACTTAGAAGTACCCGCCCGTTTTGCCCTCCGTGCCGCCGGGAGGTGGCTTTTCTCAGCCTCGGTTCACAGCGGAGGGAGCAGCAGTACAGAGAAGCCGAGCAGCTTAGCCGTATCTGGTTTAGTGCGGTTCTGTGGCTATGAGGGAGGGGAACGCGAGGGCCCCTAATGGTACTGACGGTGATGTCATAAAAGGTTGACTGTGTGAAATTGCCATTTTTGTAGGTCAAAACGGTTGAATGTCGACTCTTCCATATGGTTCAACCTAACAGTAGTGCCTAGTAAGTGTGCCAGGGGCGTCCCCGGGCATGTGTGCTTACTACCCCGCAGTGTAGTCCTCACACCAAGGCTGAGACAGGCACTGGGGAGACTGAGGACCAGAAGTAGCTGCCAGTGCCAGGTGGGCTGAGCGCGCACTCCAGGCCCCACGGGCCTGGACGGCCGCCCAGGCAAGCTCAGCTTCTGTGCTCACTCACATCCTAAGCACTATAGACCCCTCTCAGGAAACACGAATCCAGGTCAGGGTGCCGCCCTCAGCTCCCTGCGAATGCAGGCCTGACCTCTGACACGGGACTGGGATGGAGTTGGCCCGGCCACTGAGGGCAGGTGTCGCTCTGACAGCTCCGGGGGAAGTGCAGTTAGGGATGCTCGTGCCAGCGTAGGGGGGATGTCCTAAAACCGCCCGCCTGCAGCTTCGCGGAACTCCGCCCTGGTGCTGACCCTGCTCCTAGCCAGGGGGGGCGGCCTGCTCCGGGGTCTCTGGCGGCTGTAGGGCAGGGCACCGGCTCCGGAGCCTTGGGAGCCAGGATGGGAGCCCAGGAGCAGGTAGGCTGGACCGGGTGCTCACCTTCATCTCAGCCCACTTGTCTCCCCAGGGACTTTAAAAGCAAGAATGTCCTGCTGAAGAGCGACCTCACGGCCGTGCTGGCTGACTTCGGCCTGGCCGTTCGGTTTGAGCCGGGGAAACCTCCCGGGGACACCCATGGGCAGGTAACGGACTCGGGGTGTGAGAGGGGGTGGTATTGCCCTTGTGGTGCTCAGCTGGCAAGGCGCAGGAGCCCGGGTGGCTGCGTGAGCCCAGAGCGCCCCCAGACCCCCGAGAACAGGGCTCATGCACCGCCAGGGAGAGCATGGCCTGGGCGGCGGCGAGGGAGCCGGGCCTGGCAGCTGAGACGCGCCGAGGATTCCTGGTGGGGGTTTTGGCCACTTGTCCTTGTCGCCTCGGTTTTACTCTCTCTTTTTCTTTTTAGTTATAATTATTAAGAAGATAACACAGAAATAAATAGGCTAAAAACCCCAACCCAACAACCTAGAACAAATAAGTAAAAAATTAAACAGATCATCCTAAAACAGTCCCTGT